CATGCGAGCGCCCAAGCGCCAGCATGCACACAATTTTTGGCACAGAAGCCTAAAAAGGTTAGCCGCCACTGCAGTAGAGTGTTCAATTTGTGACTATTCTAACTTTGTGTATTCTAAGACTGATGTCTTACAAAGTTGAAGGTCGTCCGCCATTTATGACTTACGAAGAGCTTAGCAACTCTTCAAACTTATGATTCCATTCTGAAGTTCCTGCAGCCGCCCTTCCCCAGTCACGGCCACCCAATGATAACCGGCCTTCATTTACTGCCGTTTGCAGCATCCCATGGTCACACAGCTGAATTTTACAATATTTCCCGCCCCCTGAAAACCATCATTTTTACCCATAGCGCACCGTTGGTTCAATTAAAGTGGCAGCATTTGCTTAACCAACATTCCCCCCCCGCCAAAGGTTTTAAAACTGGGTTAGTCCTGTGGACCCTCACAACTTACAACCCCGATGAGTAGACTCCACTGTAATTAGAATTGAGCTGAAAAGGACCTTTGGAGGACTTCTAGTCCAGCCCCTTGCTCAAGCAGAAGCTATACTAGGAGCATCAAACTCAATTTCATTGAGGACCACATCGGGGCTGTGGTTGACCTTGGGCGGCCGGGTGGGTGTGGCCATTTGGGTGGGTGTGGCTGACTGAGTGGGCATGGCCAGCTTGACACCACTCCCCAAACTGCTGGCATGTTTCCTCTTCGCCTTGGATATACCGGGCCGAACCGACGAGGGCCGTCCCCTGATATTTTCCAGGACGGCTCCACAGGCCAGCTCCAACCCTGGGGCCTTGTGTTTGACACCCCTGCCCTATACCATTTCAGACAAGTGACTATCCAATCTCTTCTTAAAAGCCTCCAGTGACGAAGCACCCACATCTTCTGAGGGCAAAGCTGTTCCACTGATTAACTGTCCTCACTGTTGGGACGTTTCTCCTTAATTCCAGGTTGAATCTTTCCATCATTTCTTGTCTTGTCCTTTGGTGCTTTGGAAAATAAATTGACACCCCCTCCTCTTTGAGGCAGCCTCTCAAATACTGGAATACTGCTATCATGACCCCCACAAGTCCTTGCGGTCCTAAGTAAAAGACTACTTGTAATCCTATGCATGGCTGTCCAATTAAAAATTAAAACAACGCAGGCATGTCACTTTAGCCATAGAACCCACTTCCTAGAAAGACTCCAACCCTTTCTCCTGGAACTACCCTACCCCTGAAAATCGACATTGTGGCTTTCACCATGCAATTGAAATCCTACCGTTTTGCAGATGTTACAGATATGACACAGGTTGCGTGGTGTGTCTTGGTGGGCATGGCAGGGGAAGGATAATGCAAAGTCCTCCTCTCCCCGCCCCACTAACCTGCTTTCCAGCTCCGTTCTCCTGTGCAGGGCAACCAAAGAAGACCCAGCCGATCAGCTGGGACTCAATGGGAGGCAGAGGAGAGATGGGGGCAGGGCCAGTCAGAGGTGGGATTTGCCGGTTCTCTGAACTACTCAAAATTTCCACTACTGGTTTTCCAGAACTGGTTTTCAGAACCTGCTGAAGACCACCTGTTTGAAACCCTTCCTAGATACGCCTCTCCAGGCGGCTATATAAAAGCAGCACTACTGGTTCCCTTTCTCTGAGGATACATTTAAAACAGCCCCAGTATAATGTTCTTTTTTTTTAACGTAATATTTTATTCTGTATTTGCACATCCATCTTTGTCTCCAGGGAACCTGCCTTGCATAAAATCTTCTTTGTTGGCTAAGGCAAAACGATGCCTTCGGTTAAAGGTCTGTTAGAAAGAAGACAGATGAGAATGAAAAAAAACAACAACCAAATAAACGCTGAATTTCCGCCTGAGGCATATCGAAAGACAAATGCCATCTCTGCTTTTTTATATTAAAAAAATTTATTGAGATGATGTAATTACAAGCATTTAAAAATTATTTGCAACTCACTGGCCCTGAGTAAAGGCATTCTTGTTTTGCTTTGTTACATTCATTCAGTTCACTCCCTTAAACCCCACACCTCGAAGAAAATAGGAAGCGCCATCTTCAACAGATTATAATTTACTTAAGAAAATAATAAGAGATTTTTTTTTCCTTTAAAAAAACAACGCGACAGCACGATTTCCTTTCGACTTTGCATATGACTGCAGCTAATTCCACAGAAAACAGTAAAGAGGTTTCATTCCTAGTTCTCTTCCGAACTCTTGAGCTGCCAGCAATTCTCAGTATACATGGGGAATTTTTTTTTTTTTACATTGATTTAGCAGACTTTCTGTTCCTTTTACCGCTGGCTAAAAGAGCAGGGAGATGCAAAACGTGACAACAGGAAAAATTCTTTCTTTTTCTACCAAATAGACCCACGGCTGTCCTTTTGAAGGGCAGCCATGCGTTAATTGTAATATGTACTTTGGCTTCAAAGAAACAAACATTGTGATTCGGTTCTCGAATATGGAAAACACGCTGTTCCAGTTTCAATTTCTCTCGCTCTTTGATATCATAAGCCAGACTCTTTTTTTCCCCCTCCCCAGATACCGTATTTTTATAAATTGCGTTGGCCAGATGCCTGCAGTTTGGATGATGGCCTTTGTGGGTGAAGGACAAACACCACCACAAACACACATCCGCCCCATCTAACCCCGATATCCCGGACACGATCCTGTTCTCGGATTTCTTGCCTTCTCAAGAGTGTAGCTTTTCTCTCGGCAGCAGTGATGGTTCCTTTGGGACGGAGTTAGACTTGACTGCTTCTTATCTATTGGCTAATGTATGGTAACACGGATGAAGCTGACGTCGTTTTTGAAGCTTTGCTGGGAAAGGAGGAGAAGCAGTTGTAGGAAAGAGACAACACCCCTTTCCCCCCATTTTTTTTTTTGTGTGTGTGTATTATAATTTTCATTTGCTGCATTTTTAATGGAAGGTATACATTTCTATCAAGGGCGAATTTCGTTTCGCTTTGGGAAGAAATGAAAAGCAAAGGATTTGTGCCTCCATATGTGTGCACATCGATGTGTCCACAATCCGACCGCTTTAAAAACACCCCTTCCCGGAAGTCTCTATGGCTAGTTCTTTTTAAGGAAGACTCCTGCAACATGTAATTAAGAAGTCACCTAGCCTATATCTTGGATTGGGCGTACTCGCCATCTTGAGACCCTCAAATGTAACACTCCCTTTTCAAAAAGTAAGCTTCTAGCCCTTAACAATTCAGAAAATAGGCTTTCAAAAAAAGCTGCAATGAAATTTCCAAAACAAGAAGCAGGTTTCCGATGATGGGAAAGTGAAAATGAAATTCAAGACAAGTCTTGGTGTGCTCCTCAACTCGGAGAAGCAGGCAATGTTACACAAAGTAAAGGAAAACAGATACAAATATACTTCATTTGCCCAAAAGAACCTAGTGAAGCAGTCCATTACTTTTTCTGACGCTGTTTAAATTACTGTGGAAAAAGAATTTCGACTTCTTTCATGTATGATTTACATAATCTTGTCCATGGCTGTTATTAAAAAAAAACCCGAACACTCTTATATAGCCAGCATTTTGTCATGACAAACGAACCTCTGAACTTAAGGAGGAAATAACTTCATTTGTGGTATAGAAAGAGGGATGACTTCCACCTAGGAGTTTTACAGAATACAGTCTTCCTACCAACCAAAGGCACATACAAATTTCCTCTTAAGGCTACGAAGCTCATCTGTCATTGCAAGAATCCAGAACACTGCAACGTGATAAAAATAGTAGTCTTCAGTATTCACATCCACCTAAGAAATGAGGAAGATGACTTAGAAAACATTTTTTTTGGGGGGGGGGGGGCGTGGGAAGAGCAGAAGCAAAGGGAACGAGACGAAGGTCAGCCCCAGAGATTCAATTTCACCTCTCTGAGCTGTGAAGGCCACTTCCTGGGAAAAATTATAGCCACCATTTTGGAAATCCTAAACCAGGGGTGTCAAACTCAGAGCCCGGGGACCAGATCCGGCCTGCAGGATACTTAGATCTGGCCAGCGGAGCTGCCCAGGAAACAGCAGACCAGCCTGCAGTGCTTTTGCCAGCCAAAACGGGCTCCCAAACTCCGTTTTTGGCTGCCACAGCCTCCTGTAACCCTCTGCCAGAGAAAACGGAGCTCGGGAGGCAGGGGTGGGATCTGACCGGTGTAACCACCGGTTCGGTGATTTTACATTTCAGCTATGGGCGGGTGGGTGGGCCAAAACAGAAGGAGACATAGAACGGGTTCTATGTATGCTCTCGGTTTGCTGCTTTTCAGAGCAACCGATTCTACAGAAGTGGACAGAACCGGCAGAATCCCACTCCTGTCGGAAGGACCGCATGTGGGAGGGAGCCTGTTTTCACTGCCTGACCACTAGCAGCCTGCTCTGGCCTCCACAGGTGCCCCTAGTGTGGAGCTGGCCACGCCTACCCTGGCCCAGAGGTCGAACACAACCGCCATGTGGACCTCAGTGTAAATGAGTTTGACACCCCTGTCCTAAACCCTTCCTTCCCTTTGGAGGACCAACTTATTTGCTTCGCAGATCAGAGCCTTGCCCCAACCCAAAGAAGGAGAGGGAGAGACACCGAAAAACCATCTCACATTCTTCAGCCTTGCAGTTGGAAATACCTTTTAGTAACCATCCAGCAAAATATCCCACACCCCGGCTGCATGGTTTCTGCTTAACCCTTTCTCGAAGCTGGGCCATCATCCTGCAGAAATATATCCTGCCTTTTACTGGTTTCTGGAATAGTTTCTCCTACTCAATTCAAGAGTGCTCAGGTGCCTGGATTCGGTCCATGTGCCTTTGAGGAGTCAACGCTGGCTAACAACACTCCCCAAACGACGGCACACTCTTTCCCCACAGCCACCAATGAGGCGCTTTTTTTTTTTTTTTTGGTATTTCTCATGCTCTAAACCATGGATTGCAGTCCACGTTCTTCGATCTTTGTGCCGACGGAGGCTGACTTGCAAGCAGGTCTTGGCCTCTGTAGATTCTCCCCGATGCCTCTTGCCCTTGATTTTTTCTCTCTCTCTCTCTCTCTCTTTCCTTCAGAGGCTCCCGCGAGAATCTGCACTGACCCACAGTTGTGCTAATTTCCATAGGAAAGCATTCGGAGTACGCAGCCCCCTGACGTTCTGCTCTACAAAAGGAATTATTTTAAAAGCCCAAAGATTACTTGGACGGGTTAATTAGAAAAAAATAATAATATATATATATATTTATATATATATATATCCCAAACTGACCAATTGAAAACAAAACAAAAAAAATCAAGCCCAAGGTGAGACAGGTCCTAAAAGTTAGCCAGGTGAGAGCTCTAGGCTCCCACTCTTCTCGACCAAATGCTGTTGCCACACCACCCTTGCCAATCTTGTTTCTTCGCTAAGGTGCTTGGCGGGGTCCTGCCAGTCCAAGATAAATGCCAAGTCCTGGAGCCCTGTTTTCCCAGCCCAATGGATCTCCAGAGACGGTTTCTCCATAAACCACAGTGAAGGAAGTAGATCAAATCCTCAGCACTCGTCTTCCTGGTAGATCTGCTCATCTAGTTCCTGAGATTCCAGATGCTCTAGGCGGTCAGTGCGGCCGCTCATAATTTCATCTGGCGTCTTCATGAACCTGCAGAAACAAAGAGTGTGTAAGTGTGGGGAGCAGAGTTTAATTCTTTTCTTTTCTTTTTACTGGCATTGGTGCTTCTTCACTGCTTCTGCGAACTTTGGACAAGGGGCTCTGTGAGCTGCAGCCAATTTGCTGGCGACCACTCGGTGGTAAACGGTTACAATGCCCACTACGTTGCAAATGGTTTTAATTATTTTTTTACCAATCCAAAACGGGGAAGTCCATTTTCAAACTATCTGTTGTGGTTCGCCAGCAGCCTCTGCAGATGGCGGTGGAGTCAGACAGTGGGGAAGAACAGGGACCAGTCCGGGAGTCTGGAGAGGACACGGATGAGGGTCCTCCATCTGATGCAGAGATGGGGCCAGGACCATCTGGGAGTGGGGTGCTGACTCCGGAGCCTGCGGAGTCTGGCAGCAGCGAGGACCCAGGGGAGACTGTTCCCAGGGTGTGTGTGAGCAGAGCTGCTAGAAGGCAAGAGCAGCTGAGACAAAAGGGGCGACTCGGGAGTAAGGCTGAGCGGTGATTGCCCCTCCCATAAGGTATAAAGGACAGGCAAAGGTGAAGAAACCTTTGCAAGAAGCAAAGTCATTCGTTCAGTTCAGATTAAACCTTGAAGCTCTGTGTGGACTTTGTACTTCGGTTGGTTTTTTTACAGTTCATTTGGCACTTTAGTTATTGGCAGCCATTCAAAGGAGAGAAAGATGGGTGCTTATCTCGAGGGACTGTTTGGGACTCATTACAGGCCGGGAATGAACATAATTCCCAGCGTTGAAATAAAACAAGAATTGTTTTAACTTTGGGACATCCAATCAGAGCTGAAAAAGCTTCTTGGATGAGAAGCGAAACATCTTCAAAAGGGAAAAACAAGAAAATCCAGTTGTCTCCTGAAAAAAGCACCTTTGGGAACAACCATGACCCTGGATGATTGAGGATCTCTACAGACTTTTATATATTCTGTCAATCAGAAAATGTTACATTATCTTTCCCCCCTGGAAAAAAATATTCTTGGGCAGGGCTTGATGAATACTAACAACTTAATTCCCTTTTTTTGATGACTTGTACAATCAAATGAACTTGGACATTTTGGATTTTGTCTATGTTTTTGTTTGTTGTTGTTTTCAGGGTTTTTTTTGAGTGGTGACTTGTTACACACACACACAGACACACACACACACACAAAGAGTTTGCCTTGAATAACGTAAGTAAAAACAAAAATTCTTTCACAAAATTTGGAATGCACAAAAGCACACACACAAAAAATCACAATTACCTGAACAAAAGTCTTTGTCCTGGCTCCTTTCTGATAATATTTAGTTTGTAGTAGTGGCGCAGGGCACGGGACATTTTCTCGTAGGTCATATTTGTTCGGTTCTGTTCCATTTAAGACAAAGAAAAGCCAGAATTAAAACAAGTTACCAAAATGATAAAGAAAGAAGAGATGGCTAAATCCCAGTTCACATTCCCTTTTCCTCGTCTTTGGTTGTCTTCGCTTACGTCATGCTAGATAACACTGAGCCCGTTAAATTGTATAGTCCACAACTTGGGAGGAAATTAATAAATCAACATATGAAATTGTTGAAGAGATAATTAAGAAGATATTAGATTGTGCAGAATGGACAGACTTACGCTGAAAATCAAACAGAAAGAAGACACAGAATATTATCAAACATGGAACTTATTTTACCAGTGGCTGGAAAAAAAGGGATGGAGAGTAAGAATGGCAATTGTATTGTTAGGCCATTTAAATACCCAGACAAGATGTTTATTAAGCACTAAGAAATGTAACAAATAGAAAATTAATAACATAAAATAAAAAATATGAGATTGGGTAGCCTTGATTCTTAAGGGCTCCAACCTCTTTTGTTTATCCAAAATATGTAAACAGATGGGCTATTGTAATGCACTCTAGATGGGGCTGCCCTTGAGGGTGATTTGGAAGCTACAGTTGGTGCAGAATGTGGTGGGGCATAGGACAGAACTGGACAGACCTTGGCATGCCCATGAAATGCCACTCATCTATGCATTCACTAGATGCTAGTAAGCTTCTGGGTATAATTCAGGGTGCCGATCATCATCTATAAAGCTCTTGATGGCTTAGAACCAGGAGTCAGCCTTCCCGGGTAAACGAAAGAAACACATCCAGGTAGCTAATTCTACTTTATTGCAAAGCTACATTAGCAAAATCTTGCAAGTCTAAAAGTACAAATTTCCCACCGACACTTTTAACCTAAGTACAAACTTCCCACCAATCTGACCTGGAGTGCTGACATTGCAGCCCTGGCCAAAAGGGCCCAGCAGAGATTATACTACCTGAGACTTCTCAGAAAACAACAACTGAATTAAAACACGGCTGGTGACCTTCTACCGCTGCACCATAGAGAGCATTTTAACTTACTGCACCTGTGTATGGTTTGCCAATTGCACAGGGGCAGATAGGAAAGCACTCCAGAGGGTTAATGTCATTGCCCAGAAGATCATTGGTTGCCCTCTCCCCTCTTTGGAAGAGCTTTACAGCTCCCGCTGCCTTAAGAAAGTTCAAAACATTCTTATAAAGATCCATCTCATCCTGGGAACCCTTTTTTTTGAACTATTACCATCTGGCAGATAGTACAGGGTAATAAAAACAAGGACAAATAGGCTGAAAAACAGCATCTATCCCACAGCAATAACTCTACTGAATTCTATTGGTATAGTGCCATATTAATGCAATATCAGGGATTTTCAATTCAATTGTATAGAATGTGAAGGAGGTGTGTTTGTGTTTTTAATTTTTTTTATGTATAATGTACATTGAAGATGGAATTTTGTTGTAGGAGGTGCAATGTCAATAAAGTAAACTAAAAAATTAATAAAAATAACAGCTTGACCTATTAGATTGGGTTTTTTAAAAGCTTCTTCCTCTGACCATTAAGTGATTGGGGGCTCCTGTTTCTCTTGCCTACTTGTTTCCAAGGTAGCATCTCTTCCCCTTCTCCTTCAAGGTCATCCACATGGTCCATTACACCAAGTTTCTGCCCATCTGGTACACACAGACAAAGCTGGCCTGCTACGAGACCCTTCAGACGTACAAGACATCAATTGAGACCCCAAGAAGCATGGCTTCTTCTCTGCCACCTTCTGGAACGGCGTCTCCCCACCGATCTGTCTAGACTCTAGCTCCCACCCTGACAAGGTTCTGGAACGCTTTAGAGCAAAGGCCTTCAAACTTGGCAAGTTTAAGACTTGTGGACTTCAACTCCCAGAATTCCTGAGCTAACATGACTGGAGGAGGAATTCTGGGGGTTGAAGTCCACAAGTCTTAAAGCTGTCAAGTTTGAAGGCCCCTGATCTATCTATCTATCTATCTATCTATCTATCTATCTATCTATCTATCTATCTATCTATCTATCTATCTATCTAT